TTTCTTGCCTTGTCAATGCATCCATGTAAGCTTGTCTTAACGCAGTTCCAATTCTGTGATTGGAAAGTTGAAGGAAAAAGTGATACAAGCCAAAAGCAGCCATACCACAGAATGTAATAATTGTCAATTTGATGCATACTTGATTAATGGCTTCTGCTCGATATGCAGCGTTTGAGTTTGCAGCAAGAAAGTCGTCAATCAAATCTCCAAGAATATATTGGCAAATAATTGGCAGCACTCCGTACGCCATGGAGCCAATAACTCCCAAAGAGAGTAATGTTAAATTCCACAGTCCAATCACTTTAAAAACTTTCAAATGTGAAAAGAAGGTGATTTTAGGCTCTCTATCGTCTTTGAGAGTTGCAGCACTGGCTGCATTCGATGCTTCTTTTGAGTCACCACCACCATTCATCTCCGTGTCTGTTGCATGCTGAGAATGACGAGTAGATTTTCGTTTCAATGGCATTGCGTGAGAGATGTCGAGTTATTTTGTTTGAGGAATGGTCTGTGAGACTTGAAACTACTCTTTTAAAACTGCTATGAAGAATCACCTGAGGAATGCATCCTAGAATTGTGCGTCGAGCATAATTTCTCCATATTTGTACATTGGTAAACTTTTGACTGCAACGGAATGCATGGCGAACATGGTTCACCAATAACATGGAGTAACCATCGAAGATCTCAGTGGAAGTGCATGGTTTTGCAATCAATTTGTAGAAAAAACGTTTTCCGTACCTACAAATTGATTGTAAAATTTTGTTTTCAGAATCCATGAGAGCATGCATTATCTACACAGTATTTGGTTTTGAATGGCGAAAATCTCATTTGGGTAAAACGAATCTGTTTTTTTTTGTAAACGGGGTTTTGTGTCCAATTCTCCAATATCTACATTGTTTGAACTAAGTATTAAGTTATTGATAAATGTGAATACAACCATTACCGCTGTCACACACTAAAAGCTCTCCGTTTAAGCGATTGAGGCATAAACCTTGAGGATTTCTAAATGTTTTTTCCTTTCGGTTCCCAAAACAGTTAAAATTGTAGCGTGGTTTCATTCCTATGTGATGAGTATTGGAAAATT